AAGAATTAAAAAAAATATATATTTCACACATTTATTGAGTCCCTATATTTAGACTTTTCACAGGGTATTAAATTTTAAATATAACTTTTAAAACATATTTAACTGTTCAAAAAAATTGTACAGTATGTCTTAAAAAATACTATATTTCTAGCTTGGTATGTATTGACAATAATCCTGAAGACATTCGTTATTATTAAATTTTACAATTTTAAATATAACTTTTAAAACATATTTAACTGTTCAAAAAAATTGTACAGTATGTCTAAAAAAATACTATATTTCTAGCTTGGTATGTATTGACAATAATCCTGAAGACATTCGTTATTATTAAATTTTATTAACAAAAAAATAAGGATTATTTTCCTTAAACAGTCTAGTGAAAACCGCCACATATAGATCCGCTCCTCAATTGTGCAGACGACAGCGCCGCCCGTAGGGCATTTCTAACCAATCAAATGCCGTTATACTTGTGAAGCGCGAACTATAAATAAATCTGAACGTCTAAATCGAAAGTAGGAAGATGGATTTGATTTTAAGCAAAAAACCATTACTAGTAATTATCCTTGGATTAAATGTTTTTCACTTGGATGAAAGTCTCATCACAACGATAATTTGCGCGTGAATCAAAACGACGCCATTTTACAGGACGCCATATTGGCGACAAGAATCTCAGTTCCATAGGTATTGTAATTGACATATAGTTTACATTAGATTTCTTTTATTTTTCATATACATACGTGTTACCTATAGGGAGAGCTTCGCTCTCACGGGCCCTTCGGGCCCGTGAGAGGGCTCCGCCCTCTATTAAAGGTAAAGTTTGAAACATTTAATCCTTTACTTCTCTTTGACTTTGACAGAAATTATATTATGTCTGCTGATTACGCTGACAGCATCGCGGTCTAAAGAAAAACACAAAATGACAAATCTTCATTGTCAAAAATTTCGGGAAAACTTAGCTTGACCAAGATTTGGAAGGACACCACTTTTTTACTCTTATAGAGATATAGGGGAGACATTTCTAGATTTTACGGACTTTTTTAGTGCACAAAAAGCATATATTTTATGATAATAAAAAAATAAAATTTTAGACACACTTAGCATGGCCTAATTAAGATATAAAAAAGCTACTTGATGTAGGTGTTTATAAATCTACAGTATGTAATTCTAGTTATTCTACCTATGTGATCATTGTACTGGACCTAAACTGTAAAAATAAGACAACACTAATTAATGCCTGAGATCATAACATGTATCTGACATTAGACTATGTAGACTGTTGGAAGTCAGCTTTAAAAAATGTTACCAGTAAGGAATTCTTTATTTTAAAGTGAAAATATATATGAATATTTATTCATTATATACATGTTAAATGAAAACAAAATTATATACATAATGAAAACAACTGCTGCACTGACTTTCATGTGAGTTAGGCTTGAGGTTTGTCACTGGACTGGATGAAAACATTCCCAAGCAAACTTCAAAGAACTACGTACACTAACTCTTGATTCACACCTACATTTTACACCTATTTAACTCATCGCCTGTGTGGCACAGTGGTTAGTGTGTGAAGTAAGGAGTTGATCCTGGTGTCAGCGGCTCGAATTGAATCCCACTGAGGGTCGTTGAGACCGGTCCTACGGATGAGACTGAGGTCCTGCATCTTAAAAAATCTCCTCCTACAGAACCACTGTCAAAAATTATATGGAAACAGACTAAGTGTATATTCTAGCTCGTTCAAATCATGACCCCCTTGGGTAGAGTGGGGCCACAATTGATGATCAAAGTTTTACATGGTACTGTAATACATTAAAAATTTTGAAAAATCTTTAAAAATCTTCTCCTCCAGAACCACTGGGTCAGGAATGATGAAACTTAAGGGAATATTCACAGGAATTTTAGATTCTTGTTTGTTCAGATCTTGATACAGGATGAAGGGCAGGGTCACAATAGACAATAAAGTTTTGCAATGGAATAAGATTACATAGGAAAAATCTTGAAAAGGTTTTTTTTTTTTCTCAAGAACAGCAACGTGATGATATTGATTATATTTACATGCAAGAATCCTCAGATAGTATAGATTCAAGTTTGTTTAAATCATGGCCCTGGAAACAGGTTTTGGCCACACAGGACATATGTTAAGATTTCATAAGAATTCATAGAAAAATCTTTTACGATAAGCCATTATTTGTTATATAATATGGAAGCATCCTTGAGTACCTGAGTAATGTACAGTAGATTCAAATTTGTTTAAATCATGACCTCCTGAAGTAGGTACTAGGGAGGAGACACAACAGGTGATCAGAGTTTTGGTAAGGAATATATATGAAAGATTAAAAATCTTCATCTCAAAAACAAAAATGCCGTGATTATTAGTCATTTTAATACAGAAGCATCTTCAGGTACATGTAGTATACTGGTTCAAGATTGTTCAAATAATGACCCCCAGGATTAGGATGGGGCCATAAATCCCATAATAGAAAATAAAATTTACAGGAAACAAATCAAATTGTTGCCGAAGCCCTGTGTTCCACCAAGAACCAAAAGGACCCATGATGAAATCTAAGTGGGGACATAGTAGAACTAAATTAATGAGTTGTTACAGAGTTTTGAACTGACACAGAGAGGCTGCTGCCACCACTGAGTGTGGTAGGGAATTCCATAATGTCACTGTATGGGGAAAAAGCCAATAATTATTTCTCTTTTGCCACTGCTAAGTGGACTTCTCATATAGTAGACTAGCAAGGGCATATGCGTATGGCAAGAAAGATAACTCTTGCTATCTTTTAAAAGAAAAATTTGCTTCTCCTTCACTGTATAACAAATAATAAAATTATTGATGATGCATGATTGCCTCTTAGAATTAATTTAAAATTACAAGATACATTTGGTAAATAAAAGGGAATCTGGGTGTCTTCTCCTAACTGGGATAGATTTTAGGAGGAATACCAAAAAAAAAAAAAAATGGGTTACAATTTACTTACAATTTACATCATTCATGTCATTATAGGCTTGGAAATTCCATGGCCACTGGGTCTGACAACAACTCTCAACTTTCAAGAAAAAAAATGAAATATTCTTTAAAAATTATATGGATCTAAATGTAATTATTTCTTGTTTTAATTAATATTTATCACTGATAAAAACATAGTACCAGGTATTTCATATCATATGATTAACAATTAATCACCTGTTAAATGTAACATACTACAGTGCATACAATTGTAGCAACTTTACAGTAGAAAATAATTCAACTATTTCATTTTAGCTTCAGATTAAATGATCAAGTAATATTTAGGAATTTATTCCTGAAATAAGTAATTGAAATAATTTAAAGATCATAAGGTTTGTAGAAATTCCATCCTTCCAAGTGTAACAGGGGTCTTGTAGTATATACATGTACAAATATATGTACGATGTAGAGAATTATGTGAAAAATAATCACCTTTATTTATACAAATCAATGATACTTGATGAACACATGACTGCATTCAATTTACTCATAAAAACAAAAACATTTCTACTTTGCATCATATGGAAGAGTTATTCCCCTTTTCACATTTTATCGAAATGAGCGTCTGACTTTAGCAGGTTTAGTGGTACATGTTATATACTTTATCCTTGAAAGAATTTTATGTGTATATTTATTGTTTTACATTACTAATAACAGAGAATTAGTAAATTAAGTCCTTGTGGAACACAGTGCTTGTTACCTTTATCATTATATAATCTGAAATATTAACAATAATATTTAATCTCAATTCTTACATGGAAAAATGTGAATAATGATGTTTTTCCCAATTTTAACTAAATGTCGCTAATTTTTCCCAAATAAGAAAGCTCAGGCTCTTGATTTTAAGACCTAAAAAACCCTGTCAGACACACTCACCTTTTTTTTGAAAAAAAAAACAACTTTTGCCATGGCTGTAACTTTTGAATTACCAGTATTTGTTAGTGGGCTTTTATACTACACATTTTGTGACAAAGCCTTTTATTTTGTTTATATACATTTTTGCCCATTTGACCTACTTTTGAAAATCACCAACCTTGGGAATTGACCATAACATACTTTTGAGTGGTGCATAGTACAATGTAGTAGGACTTTTAAATTTTACAGGTGTATTCCATGTGATAAATCCCCTCTTCAGATTGATCAGTTTTTCACAAACACTTCATTAATGACGTGTCAGTATGTAATGGCAATTATTAAGATTCAATACTAACATATAATATTTACAAGTTGTCAAGGCATTTTCTAATGCCCTGTTCACACGACGAGTATAATTTGCAGTAAATTAATGCAAAATAAATGCGAATTATATTGCGTTCACACGACAGCTAATGCGAAGTAAACTAATGCGAATTAAAATTCTACTTCTACGGCCAGGCGTCAGTAAGGCTATTATGACGTCATTTGCAAATCACATCACCTTATGCAGGAGCAGATGCATTTGACATAATGTTACAGTGTCTGTACACACATTTTAGTGATTAACACAATTTTCCTTAGTTTTTCACTCAAAAATAGCACAAACACTTCAAGCTGACCACGGGCATGTGGATTTTACCTAATTTTGCCATTAAGCATGCCTCAAAATTTAATTCGAATTGGCTTCGCTTAGCGTTCACACGGAGCTATTAATGCCAAGTAATTTAATGCGCAGTAAACTAATTCGAATTAAACTAATTCGCATTAAATTCTGCATGTGAACGCTAAGCGAAGCTAATTCGCAGTAACTTTACGTTTAATTCGAATTAAACTCTCCGTGTGAACAGGGCATAAGTGTATTGTATTAAATAATGGTCAGCTGACCAAATAATGGACATTTAATCCATGTATGACATTTCATACATATGCCAATATTTTAAGGAATAAGGTAATGTTAATATTTTTAAAGAAATTTATGAATATTAATAATGATATATTACACATGTGTGAAAATGTAATGGAATAATATAATTTTAGTATACTTCATATTTATATTTCTCTATATATCCATTTTTTCAAAGTTGGTCATCATTTTTGCCTGAAGTATCAAAAATGGACGTACATAGAGAATTACTAGAACGTTATGTGGAACCGTGCATGAAAGAGTATGGAGTAGAGGATGCATCGATAGGAATTAGATACCTTGATATCTGCATTGGTGGTAAGGCAAAAATGTTTTCATTGAAATTAATTACTTTTTATACCCCCCGCTTGAAAAGCAAGAGGGTATATAGTAATCAGTATGTCTGTCTAGCTGTCTGTACGTCCATCCATCTGTCTGTCAGGCTTTGGGGTACCCACCATTTATCCGTAACTCCTCTCATACCACTGAATGAAATTTGATGAAACTTTCACAGAATTTTGATTACACATTGCCATTGTGCACCTCCTATTTTACTATTTGATTCGACATATATTTTGGGTTTTCCACTACAAAACATGGACACTGACATTACATTCATATAGGAGGCAGGGGTATCATTTAGTGAGCTCCTTGCTTATAGTACCTCTAGTTTAGTATTACAGTTTTAGATTATAGTAAAGGGCTGAAAGCAATTGTTTTTAGTTCACCTCAGCCTTCAGCTCAATTGAGCATTTCTCCTCAAAATATGTCCATTGTCTGTCATTGTCATTGAAAACTTTTTTTCAATTTTCATCTTTTCCTAAAGAACCATACCTTCTTCTGAGGGGAGATAAACTTGAATAAATTAGTGTAGTGATGTACAGTACTCACTGTATCTCCTATATACTTTTTAACATTAAGATAAAATCTAAGGTATTTTGGCTGGAGTCTGATTGATGTATGATTTAGAGAAGAAACATTGAAATAGGGCAGCTGTGAGTCCTCAATGCTGGCCACAGTTGGCAAGCATATTTCCAAACTGGTTTTATATGGGTATAATATATGTATATCTAAAGAAGGGTACTCTCACTGAGGTGTAATACAAAATAGATTTGTTAACAATTACACAACCGCTCTTTTATTTCATTGCCAACCCAAATTTTTTTCGTTGCAAAAATCCAAAAGATTCCAGCCAATGGTCAGTTTAACATTTACAAGCAACTTTATTGGTCAAATGTTTGAACCATAATCAAAAGTACAGAAACAAATAATGGAAACCTCAACATGACAAGTCCAAATAAAAGTAAAGCACCACATAGTGTAAAACTGTTTTGAATTTCAACCAATCCATGTTAAATTGTTTATAATCAGATAAATTCGGTAAAATTCAATAAAATAAAAATACTCCATTTTACATCAGTATGCAACAGCTGTAGTCAAACATATTTTTGTTTGGCCTTATCCTGAATATTTAAGAGGATAAACTGATGCCATTCTTCTTATGTATTTCACATGTAGTCCTCATTTCAGATCTTCACTTATTAGCTCTTCTGAGCCAAACTTAAAGGCTCAAAGAGCTAATGCTATGGCCATTTGTGCGGTGTGCATCGTGCGGTGTGTGGTGTGCGGTGTGCAATAACTTTTTAGAATATGGGCCATAACTCAAGAACCCCTTGGCCAATAATTGTCAAATTTGTCACAGGGTATCCTTGGCCCAAGGGCTACCTCTTGTACTAAAACTAGGGTTGTGACCCTAAAACAAGGGGAGATAATCAGGAAAATAAAACCAAAAGTACTGGTTGCTAAAAAATCTTCTTCTCCAGAACCACCAGGCAGATTTTCACCAAACTTACATACAAGGTTTAGGATATGTTGAAAATTAAAAATTGTTCAAGGCATGACCCTGGGGCAAAGGGCGTGGTCTCAAGGTCACTTCAAAGTTAACCAAAATTTACACTTAATAAAAACGTTGTTATTTTTCTTACTATAAAGACTAGGATCATCAAATCTTGTAAGTTGATGTATCTTAGGACTTCACATCATGTTAACACAAAAGTAGGTCATGGTGACCTACTTTTTAGCTCACCTGAGCCAAAGGCTGCTATTTTGTCCATCGTCCGTCCGTCCGTCTGTCTGTCTGTCTGTCTGTCCGTCCGTCCGTCTGTAAACTTTTCACATTTTTGACTTCTTCTCAAGAACCACTGGGCCAATTTTAACTAAACTTGGTACAAAGCATCCATGGGTAAAGGGAAATTTAAATTGTAAAAATGAAGGGCCAAGTCCCCTCACAAGGGGAGATAATCAAGAAAAGACAAAAAATAGGGTGGGGTCATTAAAAATTTTCTTATCAAGAACCACTGGGCCAGAAAAGCTGAAACTTATGTGGAAGTATCCTGGGGTAGTGTAGATTCTAAATTGTTCAAATCATGACCCCCGGGGGTTGGGTGGCGCCACAATTGGGAATCAAAGTTTTACATAGAAATATATAGGAAAAATCTTTAAAAATCTTCTTCTCAAGAACTACTGGGCCAGAAAAGCTGAAACTTATGTGGAAGCATCCTTGGGTAGTGTAGATTCTAAATTGTTCAAATCATGACCCCCAGGGGTTGGGTGGGGCCACAATGGGGAATCAAAGTTTTACATAGAAATATATAGGAAAAATCTTTAAAAATCTTCTTCTCAAGAACCACTGAGTCAGAAAAGCTGAAACTTATGTGGAAGCATCCTGAGGTAGTGTAGATTCTAAATTGTTCAAATCGTGACCCCCGGGGGTTGGGCGGGGCCAAAATGGGGAATCAAAGTTTTACATAGAAATATATAGGAAAAATCTTGAATTTTATGGCTCATCTTTTTCTAAAACATTCAATCCCATTATTTCAGATACTGAGAGGTTTAGAATCACCAAATCTTGTAAGTTGATGCATCTTCAGGCCTTAAAACATATTTATGAAAAAGTAGGTCACTGTGACCTACTTTTTGTATTTTCAGGCATTTGCTTTCAAATTGTTTAAAGTGCATATTTTGAATACTTTCAGACCTATGATCATCAAACTTTGTCAGTTGATACGGTGACCTATTTTTGACATTTTATGGCTATATTTAAGTTTCTCTGGTACTTATTGGCTTAGAATCATCAAACTGATAGTTGATGCATCTTGGGTTTTCGGAGAATGTCAACCATAAGAAGGTCACAGTGACTACTTTTGAATATATGAGGTGCTTATTGGCTTAGAACTATCAGTCAATTAATGTATCTTGAGTCCTCAGAAAGTTTTAAATCAAAAAGGTGGTCACCATGACCTTCTTATGGTATTTTATAGCTATACTGCTTTCAGAAATATCTTCATTCCTAACTGGCTAAGAATCATCAAACTTTGTCAGTTCATGCATCTTAGGATACTTAGAGTTAGAGGCTTCAAATAGAAATGATAGACTGTACAATTTATCAGAAGAGTGATTCAAGGCCCTTGGGCCTCTTGTTTAAAATTACAGCAGGCAGATGGTTTTTCTGCAACTCTGCAAAGAAGTTGAAAGAACAGCAGGTCTATGATAGATCAAGTCAGGTTTAAAGCATCTCTTGTTTACATTTCATCTTGTAGGTATGATATCTTTAACTGGCAACCATCATTTGGTTAAGAAAATTTTATACATTTTACCGGTAGTTTTAAAATGTCATCACTTTTGTATATCTTCATATGAAGCTCTCCTTTGAAAGGAGATCAATCTAGTCTAAATATGGCAACAACCATGCAGCCCTCTAAAGGCTTTGGAGGAATTGTGGTCTAGGAGCTTTTGCTCATAGGATGATATGAAGCATTCTACCTGATGATTTAGTGCATGAAAACAATTTCCTTGAAGATAATATAAGTCTTATATTTATATGATAAAAGAAAACTTTCAAAAAACAAAATAAAAAGAAATGATAGATGTAGTAAGAATGAAGGGTTTATTATGAAAAGTTTATCATGATCCTGAACTTGAATTAGAATCATTTGTCTATAGACAAGAACCATGATACAGAAGCATAAGGTTATACATCTGATTCTTGCAGTTATTTTATTGTGGCTGATTGCTCAAGATGAGTTTGCTGATAATTACACATGTATGGTTATATGTATTGGTTGCTCTGCATATACTAAGGGGCTAAATGTTTGTGTGATGTTACGTTTAAAACCACGTGCTGTTGCCTGTCCAGAACATGTTCTTATAAAAGGGAAGCTTCTATGTTAGCAGCTTTTGCCTGGGTAACAGTTTGCCATTTCATGAATTCCACTAAGAAATCAAACATGAAAACTATATGTGGTCATTTAGCAAAATGTATTTAGTGTGTGGTGCTTATTCATAAATATGCCAACTACTCAGTACTCTTTGATCAGGTGATAGCGCTGAATTTTGAATATATTAACTTATCTTGTTTATATGTACAGTATTTGAATTTGATCTTTATTTTTTTTACAAGCAGTAACTTACAAGCTGAACACATCAATCCATTTCAGGTATTATAATTTCTATACCCTATTATCACCCTTTCTTTTTCCCTCAGCTCACAAGTCTCCCACCCTCCCCCTCCTCCTCCTCCTCAAAATAACAGTTATATTGTTGATTCTAATGTATAGACACAATTCTTTTTATGCCCATGGCTAGGAAGATCCTTGGGGTATATTGTTTTTTTTCCTGTCTGTCTGTTTCTCTGTCTGTATACAACTTACACCTAGCCCATAAGCTGTCATAGGGGTCATCAGAGTTTCACAAACACATCATGTTCTGTTATTATAAATATTTACACTTTTCACTGAGTTTGACATTAATGTTATTCATTTTAAAATCTCAGACTAATTCTTTTTATTCAGACTACTAAAATTTATTGTTTATCATGTTAATTCAATTAAAATTCTAAGTAAAAATATGAATAAGTTTATATGAGCATGTTGACGTGTCTGATTCCATTTTTTCTGGATACTTGAATGTATTTATAGCTGTCGTGGGTCTTGGTGGGTAGGTAGGCTATCTCAGTCATTCATTGTTCAACATATTTGACAGCCATACTTTTGCAAGAATCACTGACTTTAACAGTTAAGTGTTTACTTTGACATTTAACCCTCTTTCAGGTACGGATGTACAGAATTGATAATAGATAAGAAAACTTTTCTAGTGGTCATAGGGATGGTGTTAGAGGCACTTATCTGAGTTAAAGCTGACATGAACTCTTAAAAAGGCACCATTTTTCATCTTTGTACGACTTACTACATTCCTGTACGCCTTTGTCCGCCATATTTCTTCAATTCCGCCATATTTAATCGAAAAATTTTGGCCACCTG